TTGTGGGCAAAAAAATGACCACACCCATTTAGTGATTGCAATATGTACGCAATAGAAACCGCACCCTGAACTTGAGCTTTTGATCCCAATTTTTAAATTTATACATTGTAATATAAACAATGGTTTATATTAGGACTTTAACAGTATTTTGACATTTTGTGCCATAATTCCTGAGGTTTGTTTTACAAAACTGAATTTTAATAGATGGAAACCTGGAGGCAATCCATCGGCCATCTATTTTCACTTGAATGTGATTTAATGTACAGCGTCAATATATGGTATATATGCTATGCATTCAGTTGTTTCAATGTTCACATTTATTGTTAGGGTAGAAGCCTACCGGGAGTCATAATTTTGGACAAAATTGGTCATAAATCGCATGACAATGTTCGTTATTATTATGTACAATCATTATGCCTCATGGTACAATTAAATAGCAATATTTTGTGTGTTACAGTTAAGCTTTTTGTGAAATGTGTCCTAATATTTTTTTAAAATGGCTATTTTTAGAACAAATTCCATAAAACACAATGTTGCATTTTTTGACACTTTTTTTTTTTTTTTTTTTTACCAAAAAGTACTCCATCATTAACAATATATGATTTTTTCAGCCTATGTCACCAGGCTAGATTTTGAGATATTGTATAATATCTCTGCCATAGAAACCTGTGGTAAAAGTGTTATAATAGTGTCAAAATGGCGACTTTCCACTAAAATACAACCATCAATTTCTCGAAAAAAAAGCTGGTGACCCCCAACTTTTTTTAGGTCAATATCCTTATATTACCTTGGAGTACATTTTATTGCAAAATGAATAAATTCTGAGTTTTTAGCTCCGCTGTCGACTGGAGCTTATCATATGAGTGATTGTCCGTCGTCGTCCGTGTCAATGTTTTACTTTTTCGACATCTTTTTGAAAACTACAAGCCTGAATGTACCTTGGGTAGACCTCTCTCAGATTTGTTCATTTCATGATAATATCTTCAATTCTCTAATTTTGGTGAATATTTTTGTCATTTTTGGTAAAAAGTGATATTTTCAAGGGAACCAACTTCTTGTTAAAAACCGCAAGTCCAATTGCTTTGATATTACATATATAGGTACTACATGTGGACCTCTCTCAGACTTGTTCATTTTGTAATGATATCTTTAATTTTCTAATTTTGGTGAATATTTTTGTCATTTTTGGTAAAAAGTGATATTTTCGACTTCTTGTTAAAAACCTCAAGTCCAATTGATTTGATATTACATATATAGATACTACATGTGGACCTCTCTCAGATTTGTTCATTTCATGATGTTATCTTTAATTCTCTAGTTTTGATGAATATTTTTGTAATTTTTCGTAAAAAGTGATATTTTCGACTTCTTGTTGAAAACCGCAAGTCCAATTGCTTTGATATATTATACATATAGGTACTACATGTGGACCTCTCTCAGATTTGTTCATTTTCTAATGATATCTTCTGTTCTTTAATTGCCATGTGCATTGCTAACAGCGGAGCTATTTCAGCCGACAGGCTGCTTGTTTAATTTATTAGTAGGCTTCTACCTTAATTCATGTTTAAAACACATTTGTGAAAGTGGTAGTTTTTATGCTTCTGTTTTTTTTTTTTAATTTCTTGCTGGGAGTGAATATTACATGGAACGACATGAGCTAGAGAATGCTTTCACTTTGACCATATGAATTTACTTACAGTCATGCTATCAGTGTTCAGAATGTATGTTGAACACACACAGTCATTTTCCCATCATGCCCTTCCATGTCAAAAAAAGTATCTAAATTGAGGTTGATACTATAGGTTTATAAAAAAAAAAAATATAACATACATGGATTCAGTGTAATAAAAGCTTAAACTGTTTATTCATCAGGTGGAATACATGTTGGTAACATTTGATCATGAAAATAAGACTGCCAGACTCAACCTGGATGGAATTACTTATTTGAAATGTTTACAGCAAGATGAAATTAATAATCCTGAGTAAGTAAAACATTTATTTGTGTGGCAGATGACAGTTATACTGGTCCTCATGGTCTCTGGACACTGGCCCTCATGGTCTCTTGACTCTAGACCTAATGGCCTCTGAACACTGGCCCTCAAAGTTTCTGGACACTGGACCTTCTGGTCTCTGGACACTGGTCCTTATGGTCTCTACACATTGGGCCTCATGGTGTCATGACACTGGTCCTTATGGTCTCTGGACACTGGCCCTCTAGTTTCTGGACACTGGACCTTCTGGTCTCTGGACACTGGTCATTATGGTCTCTGTACACTGGCCCTCTAGTTTCTGGACACTAGACCTCATGGTCCCCATACACTGGTCTTCATAGTCTCTGGACACTGGTCTTCATAGTCTCTGGACACTAGACCTCATGGTCCCCAGACACTGGTCCTCATAGTCATCTGGACACTGGTCTTCATAGTCTCTACACACTGGGCCTCATGGTGTCATGACACTGGTCTTCATAGGTCTCTGGACACTGGCCCTCATAGTCTCTACACACTGGTCCTCGTGGTCTCTAGACACTGGTTCTCATAGTCTTTGGACACTGGCCCGCATGTTCTCTGGACACTGGGCCTCATGGTATCAGGACACTGGGCCTAATGGTCTCTAGACACTGACCCTCATGGTTTTAAATCTTATAGACAGCTTATATGGAATTTATTTATTATACACAATGTAAGAAGTATAACAAAGTAAAAAAGAGATTTGCTGGGTACTTTTCATGTAAAATTTCTAGAAGAAAAATTTGAACTGTAACACTTCTAAAGTATCAGAATGGCTAATGGAGTTTTTGTACAAGACTAAACAATTCTACATTGTGTCAATAATCTATTAATCCCTACAGTGAGACAAGTACATGTATATTGGGTTGACAGTGTACATAAGTAACCATGCTTTTTAAAAGTCTAACTGTTACACTTGAAACAGCATGGTTGGGAAGTGTAATTAATGAATCATATCACAACAAAACAATAGAAATATAAATGGTAGCATTTGCATAAACTCAAAAATCTCTATTCAGTGTACTGTCATGCATGTCGCATGTATTCTTCAAATGTCATCTTTTGTACATGTATATATTATAGAATATGGTTATACAGGTACATGTATATACTGATTTCATCAATGCCAATGTTTAATTTGAACTCGGCTTGGCTAACTTTTTAAATGGTTATAGAAGAACTCAAATTCATGTTTAAAATTCCAAACCATGCTTCACTTCGCTTCATGAGTGCCTGATATTAAAATTGTATGAAATAGTAAACAACATTTTGCACAAACTAAAATTTATATTTTATTGCAGTGAGAATACAGCTATTTGGAGACCTGAGTATGGAGCTTATATGCTAGAAGGTACACCAGCTAGGCCGTATGGTGGTTCTATGGCACATTTTAATGTTGTTGAAGCAAATATGAAAATAAGGTATCAGACAATGTGTGGCATACCTTAAATGCTTTGTTGCCATGGAAGTATTTCCACAAATTCATTGTACATTTGTAGTTAAGTGCAGGAACATTGTATAAAGATTGCAGAAATGTTCTATACAGTCAAGTCATTACATCAATTGTTTTTTTCAGGAGGGAAGAAATAATGAAGTTATTAAAAGCTGAAGACTCTCCTCTTTCTATCACTAGTTTTCCAAGGTTAGTTACAATTATGTTGGTTTATTGTGCAACAGATTGATGCATTTATTTGATAAACATCCTGTTATGTTTACTTTTTAGATTAGGATGCCCTGGTTTTACTCTCCCTGGATATGAACCAACTTTGACTGAAGACGGAGCTTCTCGGTCACTTTATTTTCCTGACCAAGCAATCAACAATGATCACCCAAGATTTAGGTGAGTCTATGGGGTCTATGGGGTCTATGGAGTTTATGGGGTCTATGGGGTCTATGGGGTCTTCTTATTGTGTATGCATTCTAGATTATCTGGCTACTTTTTAGAATCGTATGATAATAATGATTTTATTGAAGGATGGCCTGTCATTCTGATGGCCAATATTTTACCTATGTCTACCTTAATACATTACTTTTCTGTATTTGCAGCACACTGACTAGGAATATAAGGAGCAGACGAGGGGGAAAAATAGCCATCAACATTCCAAGTAAGCCAAAATTGTTAAATCTTGAAACCTTTTACATCATTGTAGGTGTTCAATACATGCTGGTATGTGATACATGTTGGTGTTCTATACATGCTGCCCCTTACGAAAATATCCTATAGGACTAAGTCTTATAGGAATCCTATAGGAATTCTATAATATTCCTTTAGGACCAATCCTAAAGGAATCCTATAAGACACTAAAGTATTCCTATAGGAATTCTAAAAGATCCTTCAGTATTTTGGCCCCTTTCTTATAGGATTACTAAAGAAATACTATTGAATTTTTTGAGTAATCCTAAACGAATTTGTGGTACTGATAGGTATAACCTGATGTTTTGTGTGTTGACAAAAACATAATTATCAAATAGAATGAGTATAGAAGCACAAAAGAAACCCAATATTATTCTTTTAGAGCAACTAAAGAAATCCAATAGTATTCTTATAGCAATACTAAAGAAATCCAATAGTATTCTTATAGGACTACTATAGAAATCCAATAGTATTCTTATAGGAATACTAAAGAAATCCAATAGTATTCTTATAGGACTACTAAAGGAATCCAATAGTATTCTTATAGGACTACTATAGAAATCCAATAGTATTCTTATAGGACTACTAAAGAAATCCAATAGTATTTTTATAGGACTACTAAAGAAATCCAATAGTATTTTTTTATAGGACTATTAAAGAAATCCAATAGTATTCTAATAGGACTACTATAGAAATCCAATAGTATTCTTATAGGACTACTAAAGAAATCCAATAGTATTCTTATAGGACTACTAAAGAAATCCAATAGTATTCTTATAGGACTACTATAGAAATCAAATAGTATTCTTATAGGAATACTAAAGGAATCCATTAGTATTCTTGTGACCAAGTTGAAAATAAGTTGATACAACACAATGTATGGTAGAGAATCGCCAGGTTTACACATTCCAGGCTTTATTTCTATCCGAGAAATTCTTACAATTCATTCATCTTACAACTAAAGTAAGCGAGTGAACAAACACAAAGAAAAACCTAACGACAAAGAAAATACAATACGGTTACAAATACATAATACACTCGGCGTTTCAAGGAAGCATATTCAAGAAAAATATAATCGAGGTGCAATATACAGTTTAAATCAAATGAATGGTAATAACATTGTTATGACAAATAGCACATGGTCGAACAATTCAGAATACAAAGAGTA